CTCATCTCTTTCTCATCTCTCTCTAGTGTTTCTCATCTCTCTCTGGTGTTTCTCATCTCTTTCTCATCTCTCTCTGGTGTTTCTCATCTCTTTCTCATCTCTCTCTGGTGTTTCTCATCTCTTTCTCATATATCTCTGGTGTTTCTCATTTCTTTCTCATCTCTCTCTGGTGTTTCTCATCTCTTTCTCATTAATGTCTGGTGTTTCTCATCTCTTTCTCATCTCTCTCTGGTATTTCTCATCTCTTTCTGGTGTTTCTCATCTCTTTCTCATCTCTCTCTAGTGTTTCTCATCTCTTTCTGGTGTTTCTCATCTTTTTCTTATCTCTCTTTCTAATCTCTTTCTCATCTCTCTCTGGTGTTTCTCATCTCTTTCTCATCTCTCTCTGGTATTTCTCATCTCTTTCTGGTGTTTCTCATCTCTTTCTCATCTCTTTCTGGTGTTTCTCATCTCTCTCTGGTGTTTCTCATCTCTTTCTCATCTCTCTCTAGTGTTTCTCATCTCTCTCTGGTGTTTCTCATCTCTTTCTCATCTCTCTTTCTAATCTCTTTCTCATCTCTCTCTGGTGTTTCTAATCTCTTTCTCATCTCTCTCTTGTGTTTATCGTCTCGTTTCTCATTGCTATCTGGTGTTTCTCATCTTGGTCTCATCACTCTCTTATGTTAGGTTATAACGTTGTGGTTCGGATTCCTGCTGGTGCGACCAACATAGATGTAAAGCAGGTCAGCTACTCAGGATCACCAGAAGATGATAACTACCTCGGTGAGTTCAGTAATACATTACCAGACCCGATTACACTAGTGTTACAGTGATGGTATCAGATGATAATACTATGGTCCTCTGATATATGCTAGACATTCTGAATGGTTTCCATATTCACATGCTATGATATTTGCATTGTACTTCAATGAAGAACACACATTTAAACACACTCAGAAAAACAGAAAACGTCTCGGGTTACGTATGTAACCCTTGTTCCCTGAGAAAGGGAACGAGACACTGCGTCGGTGACGACACTAGGGGAACGCCCTTCAGCGTAGCACGTCTGAATTTATGAATGAAACCGAATCCAATCCTATTGGCGTTGCGTGATGACGTAGCGTGTGACGGCATACACGGATGTGTACAAAAGCACGCCGGCACACAGAAAATGTCAGCTTTTGCTATGAAGCAAGTGCTCTAAGCAGGGTGAGGCGTGGCGAACCGACGCAGTGTCTCGTTCCCTTTCTCAGGGAACAAGGGTTACATACGTAACCCGAGACGTTCCCTTTCGAGGGAACTCGAACTGTGTCGGTGACGACACTAGGGGAACGAAATACCCACTATGCCACAACGAACCCCGCTCATCCTAGTGTGAAGCTGTCTTCAGGCACAACTTAGGACGAAAGCACTCGTGCACCGGGTGTAGAGGGAAGGTCCAGACTGTAAAACCTCATGAATGTGTGCGGAGTGGCCCAGCCAGCCGCCTCACATATGTCATGTATGGAAACCCCTGAAAGGAGGGCTCTAGAGGACGCCATGCCTCTGGTGGAGTGAGCCCTCACGGCCATAGGTGAAGGCAAATTGCGCACCTGATAGGCCAGGGCAATAGTCTGAACGATCCAGTTGCTGATGGTCTGCTTAGAGGCGGGAAGCCCCTTCTTGGGAGACCCAAAACACACCAGCAACTGGTCCGACTTCCGCCATGAGGAGGACTTCTGGATGTAATACTGAAGTGCTCTGACAGGGCAGAGCAGATGAAGTCTCTCCTCATCCGCCGTCACATGAGGCGGAGGATGAAATGCCTGCAGAACCAAAGGCCGTGCCACATTAGATGGCACCTTGGGCAAATAGCCAGGCCTGGGGTGAAGGATAGCCTTAATGTTGCCGGGAGCAAACTCCAAGCACTCATTGGAAATAGAGAGCGCCTGGAGATCTCCTACCCTCCTCAGAGAAGTAATAGCCAACAAAAAGACCACCTTAAATGAAAGGTTCTTGGCCTCAGCCGACTCCAATGGTTCGAAGGGGGCCTCGGCCAGCCCTTCGAGCACCACTGCCAGATCCCAAGAGGGAACCCTGGTGCGAGTCGCAGGTCTCATCCTCCAGGCTCCACGGAGGAAACGTACGACCAGGTGATGCCTCCCCAGAGGACCATCACTCAGAGGAGCGTGGAAAGCCGCAATGGCAGCCACATAAACCTTGAGTGTGGACGGGGTAAGCCCTTTCCGATTGGGGGAAAGGCGTACAGACGCAGCCTCGGCCACGTCTGCACAATGGCATCCAACCCCAGCGGGGCTGGATGTGTGAGGGAGAACCACAGTGGACAGTGTGTCGTCTCTCGAGACGCAAATAGGTCCACTTCCACTGGGCCAAACCTCTCGCATATTAACTCCACCACCTCGGGGTGGAGTCTCCATTCCCCGGGCCTCAGCCGCTGCCTCGACAGCATGTCTGCTCCCTGGTTCTGGTCCCCCGGGACATACATCGCCCTGAGAGACGACAGTCTCCGCTGGGACCACAGGAGGATCTGATGCGCCAGTCTGCACAGAGGGCGCGACCTCAGACCCCCCTGATGATTTAAGTAAGATACCACCGACATGTTGTCGGATCTTACTAGGACATGGCGACCATGGAGGTCTGGCAGAAAGCTCCTCAGAGCCCGGAACACCGCCAACATTTCTAGGCAATTTATGTGCCAAGAGGAATGTTGGTCCTGCCAGAGACCTCTCGTAAAACGGCCGTCCATGACCGCGCCCCAGCCCGTGAGGGAGGCGTCTGTCGAAATAGATATTCGGTGACACGACGCTCCCAGCCTGGGACCCTTGGACAAGAACCAAGGCTTCTTCCAAATTGATAGGGAACGAAGGCATCTGCGCGTAACCCTTATCAAGCGGAATGGATTTCCCCTCGGGGAAAACCCCTTGGCTCTTAACCACCACTGCAGGGCTCTCATGTGCAGCAGGCCAGAAGGTATCACGCTGGACGCTGCTGCCATTAGACCCAACACTCTCTGAAAGTGTTTGACAGTGACGGCCTGGCCTAGCTTCATCCTGGACACTGAGGTCAGGATAGACTCGATCTGAGCAGGAGACAATTGTGCCTGCATCGTGACTGAGTCCCACACCACTCCCAGGAACGTGGTTCTCTGGGCTGGTGTCAACACGCTCTTCTTCGTGTTGAGTCTCAACCCCAGGCTCTGGATGTGGGCGAGGACGACATCTCGATGCCGAATCGCCAGCTCTCTCGACTGTGCCAGTATTAACCAGTCGTCGATGTAATTGAGCACCCTGATGCCCTCGAGCCTCAGGGGTGCTAGAGCTGCATCCATGCACTTGGTAAAGGTGCGAGGGGAGAGTGCTAGGCCGAACGGAAGAACCCGATATTGGTAAGCTTCGCCCCCGAAAGCAAACCTCAGGAACCTCCTGTGACATGGAAGGATGGAGATGTGGAAGTAGCCGTCTTTTAGATCTATCGTGACAAACCAATCCTCGGATTGGATTTGATTCACGATAATGGGAATAGTGAGCATTTTGAACCTGAATCTCCTCAGAGACCGATTCAGATGCCTCAGATCTAAAATTGGACGCAACCCTCCATCCTTCTTTGGAACTATGAAGTACCGGCTGTAGAACCCGGACTCTCTGACTAGTGGGGGAACACGCTCTATGGCCCCTTTTTCTAGCAGCGAGTTGACTTCCTGTCCCAACACCAGACCCTGCTCTGGGCGCACTAACGTCCAGACCACCCCGTTGAATTTTGGTGGGCGGACCTGGAACTGTAGTCTGTACCCAATTTCCACAGTGCGCAGGACCCATGGAGAAATATTCGTGAGGTTTTGCCATGCCTCTGCGAAATTCACCAAGGGAACCAGCCCCTCGGGGCTGGTGTCCAGTGTTTTGTGTAAGCCCTTGGCGGCACCCTGAAGCGGAAGACCGGCAGGGGAAAACCGACAACGACCCACAGTGTGCGAGCGCGAACGCTGTCTGACTGCAAGCCTTTGGGGCAGAAAAGACAGCGTGTGCTCGCTGGAAGCTGGCGCGTCCCGATGCGTCAGAGACGGCGGGATACTGACGCCAGCTTCCTGAGGGCCCGACGAGAGAGGGGACCTCGGTCGCTCTCTCTCGGGGGGGGCGGCCCTTGGAGGTCCCACAGGAGTTAGGACCTCTTTCCCTTCGCCTTCCTGGACTGGATGACGGTCCTCAGATCCGTCCTTCCAGAAGGCTGTGGGTGAGAGCGCTGCCTAGGGTCCCAAGCTGATTGAGGGGGACCTCTAGAAGCGACACTCCCTCTTTGGCCCTGGCGATAGGAGCTGGATGACGGCTGTGGCTGTTTTGACCCTCTAGCAGCCGACTTCCTAGACCTCGACCGGCGAGGGAGATATTGCCTAAACGCTTCACTCTGCTTTTTTAGTGTCCTGAAATCTGTCGACGACAGCATTAACCGCCTCGCCGAACAGACCAGAGGTACAAATGGGTGCATCAAGAAGAAAAGCCCTGTCCTTCTCCTTGATGCCAGAGAGATTAAGCCACAGATGCCTCTCCGTGGTTACCAGAGCTGACATGGAGCGGCCGATGGCGCGGGCCGTCTCCTTGGTAACCCGGAGAGACAAGTCTGTGGCTTTACGAAGCTCGGCAACATCCTCCCTAGTAGGACCCTCGCCCTGGTCCATGTCTTTTAAGAGGTCGGCCTGGTACGCCTGCAGAATGGCCATCGTGTGCAGGCTCGCACCAGCCCGACCTGCCGCCATATAGGCTCTGCCCACCAACGCAGATGTAGTGCGACATGGCTTGGAGGGCAGCGCCGGCGTCTTAAGGGACGATGCAAGATCGGGTGAGAGGTAACTGGCTAAAGCTTCCTCAACCCGTGGCATCGTTCCATAACCATTCTCTCTAACCCCCATAATGTCACTATAGTTCAACATCGGGGGGTTAGACAGGCGCGCTGAAAAGGGCCTGTTCCAGGATTTACACAACTCGTTGTGTAAATCCGGGAAGAACGGTAGAGACCGGCGTGGAGGATGTGCACGGTGCTGCAGGAAGCGCTCGTCGAGTTTACTTCTGACTCGCTCTTCCTGCCTCTTCTGTGGCCAACTAATATGCAGTTTAGTCACAGCCCGTGTCACTACCTCCAAAAGCTCATTATAGCTGGGCGCAGTTTGTGTGTGTGTGTGTGCTTCATGCAGATCCCCCTCCACAATGCTGAGCACATCTAATTCCTCAGAATCAGACAGCTGCAGCACTGGGTCTACATCCCGAACGGGAGAAGCCGCGGAGCGGGCTCCCGAACGGGGGATAGGGGAATCTGAGCTTTCAGATGAGGATTGGGAAAGTGCCTCGGCAGTCCCGACCCCCTCTGAAAGCTCCCTTTGCGAACCCCACGATCTAAGTCGCCGCATCGCCTCGGCAGATGCGGGACCTGAACCGCGGGGAGCGCGCATCTGGCCATCCTCAGAAAATAAAGCCAGACGGGAACGCAGCACTCTCATAGAAAGAGAATCACAGTGGCCGCAAGCAGCCCCCTCGAGAGCTGCTTGGGCGTGCTGCATTCCTAAACAAGCCACACACATCTCGTGTGTGTCCCCAGCCGTGATAAAGCGAGGGCACGGGAACACACAATTTTTAAACTGCTCACTCATTCTCACAATAAATCAGAACTGAGACAAACAACACCAAATAGGACAAACTGATTTCAACACAACACAGAGCGCTTGCTGAATAGCAAAAAGCTGACATTTTCTGTGTGCCGGCGTGCTTTTGTACACATCCGTGTATGCCGTCACACGCTACGTCATCACGCAACGCCAATAGGATTGGATTCGGTTTCATTCATAAATTCAGACGTGCTACGCTGAAGGGCGTTCCCCTAGTGTCGTCACCGACGCAGTTCGAGTTCCCTCGAAAGGGAACTACTGTTAATGAATCTGTATGAGATCGAATTAACGCTAGATGTTTTGCTATAAATTACAGACATGCACCTGAGGACTATTTCAATTTTTTTCTCAGTAATTTCGCTTTATTTCCAGATTCACTTATCGGCTCGTTCTTACGCACTAGAGCTCGTTCACACATGCGCACTCTTCAAACACTACACTTTAAATCTCTTGACAAACTAAAAGACGTAAATGACATTAGTATGTATTCTGAATAAAAGACACAGATTGCACTGAATGTCAGCTTGATTATTTGTCTCAAGATCAGGATTTAAGTCCACATGTCATGCAAACAAGGAACTGCTTCTAACCGCAGGTCGAGATCTGTCGCTCACACACGATGCTGTCGCTCAAACACACTCCTCTGCGATGCTGTTTGCAAATGTTCATTGGAACGATGGTTTCGGGAAACACAGACTCTTTGAACTGCTGCTAACGACAGAACTTGCGACCATAGTTGGCTAACGATGCTTTCGGGAAACACCCGTCTGTCCAGCTCTGATCCTTCTTGTCCTCTGATCTACAGCTCTGTCTGACAGTCAGTCCAACTTTCTCCTGAACGGGAACTTTGTGGTGTCCATGTTTAAAAGGGAAATCACCTTTAAGGGAGCAGAGATTGAGTACAGCGGATCCAACACTACAGTGGAACGGATCAACTGCACACAACGGATTGAGGAGGAGCTCGTGCTGCAGGCAAGTCGAACAACACCAAACACAACCATTATAAAAGTGCTTTGTGACACAATTCGGCATCAAGACTTAAGGCCCTTGCACACTGAGTCCGAAAATTTCATATGCATTTTTTCGTACTGGTCATTCAGTGGCTCTGAATTGTCAAAACAACCATCAAAATTCTTGCTACGGATGCAAAGAACGTGGAAAATCGAACCCGATCCAAAAAAATGTATGACGGATGAAAGTTTCGGATGCAGTGTGCAAACATGATTGACAACAAATATTTCAAGTTAGCTTAAAGTTAGATTTACAGGCTTGTGATCTTCCTGTCGTCTCAGGTGCTGTGCGTGGGAAACCTGTATAATCCTGACGTCAGATATTCCTTCAGTATTCCCTTCGAGGAACAGCGGGAGCAGTTCGGCTGGGATCCGGCAGGCCCGTGGCAGGAGTGCAGTCGCATGTGTCAAGGTTCGGCTTTCTTTCTAGGTCTATTGCCTACACCCACTTTTGGTTTTCTGTCCTTAAATACCTTCTCATCTCTCTCTGGTGTTTCTCATCTCTTTCTCATCTCTCTCTGGTGTTTCTCATCACTCTCTGGTGTTTCTCATCTCTTTCTCATCTCTCTCTGGTGTTTCTCATCTCTCTCTGGTGTTTCTCATCTCTTTCTCATCTCTCTCTGGTGTTTCTCATCTCTCTCTCATCTCTCTCTGGTGTTTCTCATCTCTCTCTAATGTTTCTCATCTCTCTCTGGTGTTTCTCATCTCTTTTTCATCTCTCTCTAGTGTTTCTCATCACTCTCTGGTGTTTCTCATCTCTTTCTCATCTCTCTCTGGTGTTTCTCATCTCTCTCTGGTGTTTCTCATCTCTTTCTCATCTCTCTCTGGTGTTTCTCATCTCTCTCTCATCTCTCTCTGGTGTTTCTCATCTCTCTCTAATGTTTCTTATCTCTCTCTGGTGTTTCTCATCTCTTTTTCATCTCTCTCTTGTGTTTCTCATCTCTCTCTAGTGTTTCTCATCTCTCTCTGGTGTTTCTCATCTCTTTCTCATCTCTCTCTGGTGTTTCTCATCTCTCTCTAGTGTTTCTCATCTCTCTCTAATGTTTCTCATCTCTCTCTGGTGTTTCTCATCTCTTTTTCATCTCTCTCTGGTGTTTCTCATCTCTCTCTGGTGTTTCTCATGTCTTTCTCATCTCTCTCTGGTGTTTCTCATCTCTCTCTGGTGTTTCTCATCTCTTTCTCATCTCTCTCTGGTGTTTCTCTTCTCTTTCTCATCTCTCTCTGGTGTTTCTCATCTCTTTCTCATCTCTCTCTAGTGTTTCTCATCTCTTTCACATCTCTCTCTGGTGTTTCTCATCTCTTTCTCATCTCTCTCTAGTGTTTCTCATCTCTTTCTCATCTCTCTCTGGTGTTTCTCATCTCTTTCTCATCTCTCTCTAGTGTTTCTCATCTCTTTCTCATCTCTCTCTGGTGTTTCTCATCTCTTTCTCATCTCTCTCTAGTGTTTCTCATCTCTCTCTGGTGTTTCTCATCTCTCTCTGGTGTTTCTCATCTCTTTCTCATCTCTCTCTAGTGTTTCTCATCTCTTTCTCATCTCTCTCTGGTGTTTCTCATCTCTTTCTCATCTCTCTCTAGTGTTTCTCATCTCTTTCTCATCTCTCTCTAGTGTTTCTCATCTCTTTCTCATCTCACTCTGGTGTTTCTCATCTCTTTCTCATCTCACTCTGGTGTTTCTCATCTCTTTCTCATCTCTCTCTGGTGTTTCTCATCTCTTTCTCATCTCTCTCTGGTGTTTCTCATCTCTTTCTCATCTCTCTCTAGTGTTTCTCATCTCTCTCTAGTGTTTCTCATCTCTTTCTCATCTCTCTCTGGTGTTTCTCTTCTCTTTCTCATCTCTCTCTGGTGTTTCTCATCTCTTTCTCATCTCTCTCTAGTGTTTCTCATCTCTCTCTAATGTTTCTCATCTCTTTCTCATCTCTCTCTGGTGTTTCTCATCTCTTTCTCATCTCTCTCTGGTGTTTCTCTTCTCTTTCTCATCTCTCTCTGGTGTTTCTCATCTCTTTCTCATCTCTCTCTGGTGTTTCTCATCTCTTTCTCATCTCTCTCTGGTGTTTCTCATCTCTTTCTCATCTCTCTCTAGTGTTTCTCATCTCTCTCTAATGTTTCTCATCTCTTTCTCATCTCTCTCTGGTGTTTCTCATCTCTTTCTCATCTCTCTCTGGTGTTTCTCTTCTCTTTCTCATCTCTCTCTGGTGTTTCTCATCTCTTTCTCATCTCTCTCTGGTGTTTCTCATCTCTTTCTCATCTCTCTCTGGTGTTTCTCATCTCTCTCTGGTGTTTCTCATCTCTTTCTCATCTCTCTCTAGTGTTTCTCATCTCTCTCTAATGTTTCTCATCTCTTTCTCATCTCTCTCTGGTGTTTCTCATCTCTTTCTCATCTCTCTCTAGTGTTTCTCATCTCTTTCTCATCTCTCTCTGGTGTTTCTCATCTCTTTCTCATCTCTCTCTAGTGTTTCTCATCTCTCTCTAATGTTTCTCATCTCTTTCTCATCTCTCTCTGGTGTTTCTCATCTCTCTCTGGTGTTTCTCATCTCTCTCTGGTGTTTCTCATCTCTTTCTCATATATCTCTGGTGTTTCTCATATATCTCTGGTGTTTCTCATCTCTTTCTCATCTCTCTCTGGTGTTTCTCATCTCTCTCTAGTGTTTCTCATCTCTTTCTCATCTCTCTCTGGTGTTTCTCATCTCTTTCTCATATATCTCTGGTGTTTCTAATCTCTTTCTCATCTCTCTCTGGTGTTTCTAATCTCTTTCTCATCTCTCTCTGGTGTTTCTCATCTCTTTCTCATCTCTCTCTGGTGTTTCTCATCTCTCTCTGGTGTTTCTCATCTCTCTCTGGTGTTTCTCATCTCTTTCTCATATATCTCTGGTGTTTCTCATCTCTTTCTCATCTCTCTCTGGTGTTTCTAATCTCTTTCTCATCTCTCTCTGGTGTTTCTAATCTCTTTCTCATCTCTCTCTGGTGTTTCTCATCTCTTTCTCATCTCTCTCTGGTGTTTCTCATCTCTCTCTGGTGTTTCTAATCTCTTTCTCATCTCTCTCCTGTGTTTCTCATCTCTTTCTCATCTCTCTCTGGTCTTTCTCATCTCTCTCTGGTGTTTCTCATCTCTTTCTCATATCTCTCTGTTGTTCCTCATCTCTTTCTCTGTAGTTTAAAGAGAAGTCCCTTAAGCTTCACGTGTGTGTGTGTGTGTGTGTGTGTGTGTTCCTCTGCAGGTGAGCGGCGACGGAAGGCGGTGTGTGTTCGTAAGAGCGATCACCTGGTGGTTTCGGATCAGAGGTGTGAGTATCTTCCTCGACCCAGAGGAGCGACGGAGCCCTGCAATAGCGACTGCGAACTCAGGTACATCCACACAACAGCTCCCGTGTCTTATTCCAGTGCTGAACCAAAAGAAAAACTGAAAGCACATAATCTGCAAACACTGAAATATATTTTTGTTTGATTTGATATTGATTTGATTAACAAAGGGGATCTTGGTTTGGAATAACTAATATTTTGCTAAGTGATTAAGCTTGATTTTCCTTCAGTTAGTGTCAGTACAATTGCATCTCATCTCCAGCAATATAAAATATTGCATAATCTCATCAAAATATTTTATACTTTTGAAATTTGATGGCAACGTGCATCCATATTCTGTGAATTTGACCACCATTTCATCACATCACAATATCCTCCATCATCATCGAGCTTTTACTTTAAATATAATTACACATGCATCACTTCCAATGCATGCATTTGTTTCCCACAGTGTAAAAAAATATTTTTCGAAGTTGTAAATAAGATAATTGAAGTATGATTTAAAACAAAATACTATGCCATCTTGGTCATCCCTTGGGGTGAATACATTAGGTGATATATATGATACTCAAGGTCTCTGCTCCATTCAAGATTTAAGAACACGCTTTTATCTTCCTGGGTCCTCTTATTTTGTTTACTTTCAGCTAAGATCAGCATTAAAAACGTATGGAGTTCCCTGGAATTCTCCCCTGTTACAATGGATTGCACCATTACTGGGCAGACCTTCTGTCTCTTTAATATATAGTGCACTGATTCAGCATAGTGCCAAGGCTTTACCAATTGAATCCATATGGAACAGGGGGTTGGGGAGTTTAAATATAAACCTAGATTGGAAGAGAATTTGGTACAATCTAAGTAGGACTTCTAAGAACCTAGCTCACCAACTAATTCACTTCAAAACAATACATAGAGCCTACATCACACCTTATAAGAGATTCCAGATGAAATTACAACCTACTCACAACTGTCATATATGTATCACTGCTTCACCTGGAACGTTTTTACACATGTTTTGGGAGTGTCCAGTTATCTCTAAGTTTTGGTTGCATGTAAACTCATCTTTAGCGGATATACTTAACATTTTTTATGTTCCTAATCCTGGTTTCTGTCTCCTTAATGATAATTCTGATATAAATCTAAAGCAAATTCCGTTCAAAATGTTATTCGCAGGGTTTACTTCTGCAAAGAAAACAATTTTGAAAAACTGGTTCTTTCCGGATATGTGTATGAAATCATTCTGGATCCATAGCCTTGTCAACATTGTCAACCTTGAACATACAACTGCGCGACTCAATAAGGCGCGACCAGCGACTGTACAAGCTTGGAACTCTTTCTCATCTAGGATAATCTCTTGGACCAGGGACAACAGCTAGGCAATCTTTGTTGTGAACTATACCTGCCGAATATATTTCCGTTGTTTTATGTATTGTCTTATCATATGTATTGTCTCATTCATCCATTCATTATACCATTGCGATGTTTTTCCTTTTCTTTTTCTTATCCTTATTTTTTTTTCTTTTTTTTTTCTCCTTATATAGTCACATATGATTTTGGAGATGTCTGTAACCCCCCCCCCCCCCCCCCCCCCCACCCCACAGAAAACAATAAAAATGTTGATCACAAAAAAAAAAAAAAAATACTACTAATTTCATGTTTAATATTTAAAAAATGCAAAAGACCTTTTTTGTATTTTTGATTTGATACATAGGCACCTAATTAGCTGGGAGAGTGTGACGTGCAAATAAACCTTTTGGGTTTCTTGGCTAAAAAAGTCAACACAACACAACAGAAAAGCCATGTCTGTGGGACGGCGTTTGAGCAGGTTTGTGTGTGCTCCTCAGGTGGCACGTGGCGGGCCGCAGCGACTGCTCCAGTAAGTGTGGTCCGGGCTCCCGTACGCTGGACGTGGTGTGTATGCGCTACAGTCAGAGCAAGAGTGTGAGTGAGCGTGTGGAGAGCCGTGCCTGCGCAGACCTGCCCAAACCACAGACTCGAGAGGCCTGTCACGGAGACTGTCTGCTCAAGAGCTGGCAATACAGCGCCTGGTCTCAGGTGACACAGATCATACTCTGACTTATTAAAGTGCCCCGATGCTGTTTCAAACGTTGCTCATTTTGTTCTTGATTCTCCTACAAAATGCATAATCTCATAATCACATAATCTCCACTGCAACATCAGCTCTTTCCTCTCAGTGTCTGAAACTGTTTGATCAAGGATTCAGTCTCTCTAAGCCCCGCCTTTCTGAGAACTGCTCTGCTGTGAATGGTCAGATGGCCCAGTCTGCTGTGATTGGTCAGAAACCAGACACACAGTGATACGAACAGTGACGGTGGCGTGGGTTTTCCCGTATCAATCTCATCAAAGTGGATTTGCTTTGTCAGCAGAAAACAGCGTCTTCTCGACACGAACAACACGAACCGAACTCTCCCAGTCTCAGATACACTACAGTGTTTGAGGGCGGAGCTAAGAGACCCTGTTCAGCCAATCAAGACCAGAGGCTGGCATTATGCTAATTAGTTACAAACCTACAGCTGGAAGTGAGACTGAATTACTGACGACTCTTTTCAGTTCAGAATCACTTCTTCTTTTTTAGAGACAAAAACTCTGCACTTTGATCTTTGAAACTTCGCTGACCTTTTACCCACTACATAAAAGGTCATAAAAAAAAAAAAAAAAGCATAATAGGGCACTTTAATAACAATAATAATATAAAAATAGCCCTAAATCCACCTATTGTTTTTCGTGTCAATTTGATCCCATTCTGTTTTCAAACAGCTTGAAACACTGGTTTATTTCTTCTTGAAATTTGGTGGCTATTCCTCTTTTAGTGTCATGAATGTGCATGCAAAGTTTCGATGTGTTTTGGAAAGGCTGTACACATTTTGTTACGGGGTCAAATTGACCCTCCATTGGTTTCCATTCAATTCAATCAACACTTTGAAAAACAGTTAAGAGTCATAAAAACAAAGCAGAAAACACGTTACCCTCGCAGAGGATATTTATATCAAGTACAAATAGCAATAAATACTACTTACAATAAGTACAAATAATGTGAGGTACTATTTATATTTACTTTTAGTTATTTGCACCTAATTTTTACATGAATCTTTAGTGTTTTTCATAGTGATCATGAATTTTGGAGGATCAGTTTGACCCCGACACAACCGTACTTTAGTGTTTCTCCTGATTCTCTGTAAGGTGTTGTGATTGTGTTTGCAGTGCTCGAGGAGCTGTGGACGAGGCGTTCGGACGAGACAGGCGTTCTGTATGAACAATCTGGGCCGGCGGCTGGCGGAGCGAGAGTGTGACGATCAGAGAGTCGTGAGTGAACCCTGCAGTGACGTGCCCTGTCCCGACTGGAGCGCCAGCCCGTGGAGCGAGGTACTGACTCCAAACTCTTCCAAACTCTTCCTATCCTGCCACACTTATCAAACATCAACAGATGATGTGCTCGTCTTTTCTCCTCTACTGTGCCGTATATCTGAGTGTAACGCTTCTGGAACAAGAACAAATGAATCCTATGAAAGCATTTAAAGGTGACCTATAATTCAAAATTGAATTTACCTTGGTATAGTCAAATAACAAGAGTTCAGTGCATGGACATGACATAGAGTGAATCTCAAACTGGACTGTTTTCGCGTTCTCATTTAATTCACGTTTATGAAAAACACCCCTGAAAAACGGTCGGTTCTCCACACAATACCGACTGTGACGCAATAGTCGGGATCATTAATATGTACGCCTCCAAATATTTGCATAATGCCAGCCCTCAATGCCAGGCGGAACTGCGCAGCCGAAGCATGGCAGTTGCTCAGTGTGGATGTACACATGAACACAAAAGTATTTTTTAGTTCCTTCATCTGAGCCTCTGGAGAAACAATGGGTTAATTTTATTTTCTCTGGAAATTTCCAAACATTTCACCGACTGTTTCCTCAACTTGGGCCAATACAGAGCTGGCCTCGGATCGAGCTACCAAGCAACACTTTCTGATGTGTAATTGTTCAAGTTCAGACAGGTAATCTTTCTCTCAAAATCGTTCAATACTGTTTATGCATCAGTAAGTCAAGCCAGTGACTAAAATATCAGCTTCGCATCGTTTCTTTTAGTAGGATGAAAATAATCGTATTTAAATTGTGAACAAATTATATACAGAAAGCGATCAAAGAACAATCTTTCCACACAGCGCGAGTTTATCTGGACACTTGCCAAACTCGTTATGAAATCAATGACGCACGTTACTGCACAACGAAGCTCTTACTGTATTTACATCATCGTGTTTGCATTGGTGAAAGCATTAGAGTGAGTGCAGAAACTGCTTTGCAATGATAAGATCTTCATTCTCGCGATCAACAGACTGTCATCTGCTCAATGCTCATCACGGCAACATTTTATGTGATGGGAATAGATCTAAATACTTTAAAAACATCTCACGATTCGTTAATCTCGATAGCTGTTATAGTAAAAACGTATAATAGCAGTAGTAAAAGTATTCGGGAGAGAGTTTCACATGTAATGCGTAGCTATTTAATATGCAAGCATGTCAGCCAATCACAGCAGTGGCCGCGGTTACACTGAATCCCACAGCCAATCACAGCAGTGGCCGCGGTTACACTGAATCCCACAGCCAATCACAGCAGTGGCCGCGGTTACACTGAATCCCACAGCAGACACGCCCCTTCAAACAGAGTGTTCAAATCAGAGGCTAAAAGCAGGCTAGGAAAAATGCCATTTATTTCTAAATTATGATTATTTTTTATCTAAAAAACATACTAACATTATAAGGGTAACCCAGGAAACATTATAAAATAATAAAAAAAAACATTCTAGGGCACCTTTAAAAAATATTATATTGAATCGTTACTTGCAGTAACTCTGTGTCTCTATCCTGTCAGTGTCTGGCGACGTGTGGGAAGGGCGTGCGACACCGGCAGGTGCAGTGCATTCTGGGAGACGAGCAGCTGAGTGAGCAGCGCTGTGACCCGAGCACCAAACCCTCGGCGCTGGGCGTCTGTGAGCGTCCCGAATGTGCGTCCTGGCAGACCGGAGGCTGGAGTCCGGTGAGAAACACACCAGCTCGCTCTGTCCCGTGTGTTTGTTCAAGGAGTAGTTCACTTCAAAATGAAAATTAGCCCATGATTTACTCGCCCTCAAGTCATCCTAGGTGTATATGACATTCTTCTTTCAGAGTTATAAAAAAAATTCCTGGCTCTTCCAAGCTTTATAATGGCAGTGAATGGCCATTTCTGTTTTGAAGTCCATAAAAGTGCATCTATCCATGATGGACAGATGCACTTTTATGATGGATAGATGCACTTTTATGATGGACAGATGCACTTTTATGATGGATAGATGCACTTTTATGATGGATAGATGCACTTTTATGATGGATAGATGCACTTTTAGGATGGATAGATGCACTTTTATGATGGACAGATGCACTTTTATGATGGACAGATGCACTTTTATGATGGATAGATGCAATTTTATGATGGATAGATGCACTTTTATGATGGACAGATGCGCTTTTATGATGGATAGATGCACTTTTATGATGGATAGATGCACTTTTATGATGGATAGATGCACTTTTGCACTTTTATGATGGACAGATGCACTTTTATGATGAATAGATGCACTTTATGATGGACAGATGCACTTTTATGATGGACAGATGCACTTTTATGATAGATAGATGCACTTTTATGATGGATAGATGCACTTTTATGATGGATAGATGCACTTTTGCACTTTTATGATGGACAGATGCACTTTTATGATGGATAGATGCACTTTTGCACTTTTATGATGGACAGATGCACTTTTATGATGGACAGATGCACTTTTATGATAGATAGATGCACTTTTATGATGGACAGATGCACTTTTATGATGGACAGATGCACTTTTATGATAGATAGATGCACTTTTATGATGGACAGATGCACTTTTATGATGGATAGATGCACTTTTATGATGGATAGATGCACTTTATGATGGACAGATGCACTTTTATGATGGACAGATGCACTTTTATGATGGATAGATGCACTTTATGATGGACAGATGCACTTTTATGATGAATAGATGCACTTTTATGATGGACAGATGCATAGGCGTAATTCTATGGGGGGACAGGGGGACACGTCCCCCCCAATATTCAACGAAGGGCAATTTGTCCCCCCCAATATTTGATCATATTTGGGGCGCGTTTCCAATACAGATTTGCGCAAAACTTTTGCGATATTTTCTAAATGTCGATAAAAAACTATTGCGAAATGACGGCGTTCCATTAACCGATGTTATGCGACTAAAACGTCTTTTTTTCCTCTCGCGATAAGTCATTCCAAAAATCATGGCAACGGACGTTGGTAGGTTTATAGCCTATATCACAGCCACCGCATAGACATTATTATTATTAATGGAAGGAGACGTGTCGTGTTATCCAAGCGTTAATGGCAGGGAAAGACACGGAGTTCCTGGGTGTTTCTCCCTCATTTCTGCTCCGATGTCTTGATTTTGGCATTTCTTTGAGGTTTAGACACTGATCAATATAGAATGACTTTATTAATGTCATTATAGATCAGTGGGCTTAGAGTCCAGTAGACTATTCCTGTAATTATTGTTTCTTTTATGAATTCAATAAAGAACTCTGTCTCGTATTATGTCCAAACGGTCAGTGTACTTGCATTCATGTTTCTTATTTAACCCGTAATTGCAAAACGAAAAATGAACGGTTGTTGTATTTTTAAAACGCAAAGGTGAACACCAACATTTTAGTTTGACCTGTAGGCCTACACCAAATGCTGCACAAAAAAATAAGAAAATAAATTATATATATATATATATATATATATATGAGAGAGTGAGAGAGAGAGAGAGAGAGAGAGAGAGAGAGAGAGAGAGAGAGAGAGAGAGAGAGAGAGAGAGAGAGAGAGAGAGAGAGAGAGAGAGAGAGAGAGAGATAGATAGACGAATTTTCAGATATTTGTTTATGACTTTTTGCCCCTTTATTAAACATTTAAAATATTCACAAATTAATATTGAGAAAAAAAATGTAGATTTTACTGGTTTTCTAAGGCCAAATTAGAACCTGGAAATTATATTTTTCCCGCAGTGCTCAATGAGAGGAGCCATAACCACAGCCTACAGAAAGGTGATTTATAGGTGAGTTAGGCTATAATAAATGTGTCTGAAAAAATAACGAGGCATTTTAATTGTTTATTATTAAACTATTGTTTTCCTAAATCAGTGTCGGCTAAAAACATATCTCCATCTCCGGATGCACCTTTAGAGAGAAATGCACCTTTCATACGGATTACATAATCAGAAGGTATTAGCTTTCGATTCAAATTTGTTCCTTTTAAAGTGGACATTTAAAGCTTCAGTCTACAAAGGCTAGCCTATCAGTTCTCGCGCTTCAGTTCACGGAGACCATGAAGCGCGCCTGATTGTTTTATTTTATTTTACAAAAGCACATCGTTTTCTTGTTATTGTGAGATTACGCAAATAAAAGTAGTTGCGAATAATGTATTATTATATTCTGTATGACCAGAAATGATAGAG